GAAATAGCTGCCAAAGGAAGTGCGAAATCGTTTCCAACCGCCTCTTGTTTTTGCGGAATTATGGCTTCGTCTGCGCACTACCGGTCCTGATCCCTCTTAGCCAATGCTTCATCTATCCCAGCATAAAAGGTCTTCAAATTATCTAAATGTAGCAATCTTGGTGTCATCTGAAAGGCCATTTGATCGTCTATCCATTCATATAAGTTTCATATCCATATTTGCATTAGTTACAGAAATAGCTGCCAAAGGAAGTGCGAGCTCGTTTCCCACTGCTTCCAGTTTTTGCTGAATTATGGCTACGTCTGCCCTATACCGGTTTTTATCCCTCGCCGCCAATGCTTCATATATTTGAGCATAAAAGGTCTTAAAATTATCTAAATCTAGCAATCTTGGTGTCATCTGAAAGGCAACATATTCCTCTATCCATTCATTTAAGTTTCACATCAATATTTGCAGTAGTTAGGGAAATAGCTGCCAAAGGAAGTGCGAGCTCGTTCCCAACCGTCTCTTGTTTTTGCGGAATTATGGCTTCGTCTGCACTATACCGGTCCTTATCCCTTGCAGCCAATGCTTCTTCTATCCCAGCATAAAAGGTCTTCAAATTGTCTAAATGTATTAATCTTGGTGTCATCTGAAAGGCCCTTTGTTTCTCTATCCATTCATATAAGTTTCATATCCATATTTGCATTAGTTAGGGAAATACCTGCCAAAGGACGTTTAAGTTCGTTTCCCACTGCATCCAGTTTTTGCTGAATTATGGCTACGTCTGCCCTATACCGGTCCTTATCCCTCGCAGCCAATGCTTCGTCTATTCCAGCATAAAAAGTCTTACAATTATCTAAATGTAGCAATATTAGTGTCATCTGAAGGGCCATTTGTTCCTTTATCCATTCATATAAGTTTCGTATCCATATTTGCAGTAGTTAGGGAAATAGCTGCCAAAAGAAGTGCGAGTTCGTTTCCAACTGTCTCTTGTTTTTGCGGAATTATGTCTTCGCGTGCGATATAT